CTATGAAGCCATGACTTGGAGTGTTAAGATTTGTGGTGACTGTAGCTCAGAGAGAGTAGGTGTATTGTGTGTCTGAAACAAATCACAATCCAAACCTTTGTGGAACTGATGATCCCACTACCTTGGTTGTTCCAGTATTTTCCTTCTGTCTGTCTACTTTGCTATTGAAAGATTTATATGTAGCACCTTCATTTTCTTTTGCTTTTCTTTTTTTTCTCAGGGCAGTGTAATCTCTGTCCTGAGAGGGTCCCTGCACGATGTTGTAGTGACTTCCTCATGGCCTGTGCTGGTGGTCCTTTCCTCATTCGCATTCTTCATGGCTTCTCTTTATTGTTTGGCACAAATGGTTGCTCTCATCTGAAGTGTTCACTTTCTTTGACACCTTATCACTGTATTTTTCTGGTTCTCTATATTTTTTTTTCCCTAGAATTTGTCCATGCTATTCCAGCCATGTGTAAATTTCAGAAATCGAACACTAAAATACTGTTTAGTATTCTACGGTTTCTAAAGGAACCTAGCTGAATAGTTAACAAGCAAGCATGCTGGAGCCAGGCAGCCAGGTTTAAATCTTGCCCTCCATTTCTTAACTTTCTGGTCATAGGTAAGTTAACAATTCTGTTCCTTTCCCATTTGCAAATTGGATTAATAAAAGATATCTACTTCTTTGGATTTTTAAACTCATTACATGATCTAATTCTTTACAGGCCCAGCATGATACCTGGTATAAAGAAAGCATTCCAGTGAGGAGAATGCTTATTTTCATGTATTTAATTTTTATAGAGAATGTCTACATAATCAATTTTTATTTTTAAAATTCTATTTGGAAGAAAGGGAGAGAGAGTGAGTTTTTATCTGCTGCTCACTTTTCATATGCCTGCAACAGCTGGGTCTGGACCAGGCGAAAGCTGGGATCCAGGAACTCACTGGGGGTCTCTAATATAGGTGGGGGGGACCCAACCACTTGAGCAATCATCTGCTGCCTCCTTGGATACATGTTAGCAGGAACCTGCAGTCAGAAGCAGAGCTGGAACCCAGACCCAGGTACTGAGATGTGGCGTGCAGGATTATCTCAAGTGGCATCTTAAATTCTGTCAAATGTTTGACCCCTCAGTCTTCAGTTTTGACTTGTTTTCTATGCTTTATTCCTGTACTGCCATCTTCCTTTTATATTTTTGAATTTGAATTCACTAGCCATGCATTTAATGAACATTTACCATATGAAGACAACACATTATGTGATGGGATTAGTTTAATTTCTGTATATTGCTGTCATAACAAATTATCACAAATTTAGCAACCTAGAACAACCAATCATTATCTTACAGTTCACTAGATCAGAGGACTTACATAGGTCTCATTGGACTAAAATGAAGGCTCGGGCAATGCTGCATTGCTTACTGGAGTCTCTGGGAAAGAACTGGTCCCCCTGAATTATTCACATTTTTGGTTGGATTCTGTTTCCTCCTGGTTGCCAACCAAAGGCAAGTCATTGGTGACTTGTCACTCCTAGAAGTCATCTGTATTTCTTCTCAGGCTTGCTGTGACCTCCTAATGGTCTTTGTTCCTTTCTTTTATGTGGCTGTCTTATGTCTCAGGGCCAGCAACTGAACGTCCCTCTGCTACTCAGATCCCTCCTGATTCTCTTCTTGCTGGACCATTCCATGCATTCTATTCCTTCTTGTAGGAGACAGCTGTTTGCTTTTAGGAGTTCATGTCATTTGGGCATACTCATTCAGATAACCCAGCATAACACATTAGTTACATCTGCCAGCATGCACCCCTACCATCTTTTGCGTGTGTGTGTGTGTGGTCTAGTAGCATAACATATTCAAAGATGCTGGAGATCAAAATATAAACATATTTGGGAGCACTATTCTATTACATGTTCTTGGAGAGTTGATGGCTGGTCAGGTGATAAACAAGTGAGCAAATAAAACTTTAGGTAATTGTTAGAGATGCTGTTGTAGGAGTTAATCCTGTATAAAATGGGATAAAATAGCATTACTGAAAGATACAATGGCATTTGAGGTGAACACACAAAGAGGAGTACTTGTTTGAAAAATGGTTCACTTTTCAGGGGGAACAGTAATAATAGTGATAGAAGTAATAGTAATCATTGGGTACATTTTTTTTTAAAAGATTGCATCCTTAAAATCCTCACAGATTGTGGGTATTACTATGTGTTCTATGAGGAGCCAGTATACATAATAGTTGTGATATGTTTTCAATATGGAGGATAAGAATGGTATAATTACCTTATTAGATTGTCGAGAAGATTGACACTGGTTATCTATGTCTAAAGCACAGCACTCAGTAAACCCTTAAAACATGGCAGGTAAAAGTGGAGGGCGTAGAAGAGAAGTACTTAGAAGCTTGACTTGAGCTGGCTTGGTTTTGAAGTGGGGCGCGGGGTTCCAGGGAGTTCAGGGTAACTTGGAAGAGCTCTTTGGTTTGGGAGCTTTTATTGATGGGTGGTGTTTTTCAGTACTGTAAGGAGGGACAGAATTGTGTTTTGTTTTTTGTAAGGACAGAACTATAGAAGGGAAGGGATTTATGGAACAACATAGGTCAAACACTGAGAGGTTGAAGTTGATGTTGGCACTCCTTCAAATCCATCATGTTTAAATGGAAATTGCCATTTTGTCAAACTGGTTTCCTCTGTTAACTCCCTGTTTTCCCCCACCAATCCTTTTCCCCCGTAAGCTTAACATCTTTCAAATATTTTATTTATTAATTTTCATTTTTAATTATCTAAAAGGCAGACTGTGACAAAGAGGTATCTTTCATTGATGGGTTCATTCCTTAAATGCCCACAATGGCCAGAGGCTGAGCCAGGCCAAACCAGGATCCTGGAATGTCAATCAGGTCTTGCAAGTTGGTGATAGGGACTCAAGTACTTCCCAGGGAACTAGTGGGAAGCTGAATTGAAAGCTGAGGAGCTGGTACACAGACAAGGTACTTTCATAAAGTTGGCAGGCATCTGAAGCAGCATTTTAACCACTCTGCCAGAGTCCTGATAACTATTCATTTTCATTTTATTTGAAAAGTCAACACACACACACACACACACACACACACACACACACACACAGATCTTCTATTCACTTGTTCAATTCCAAAGTGGCCACACAGCTGGGTGTTCCAGCTTGAAGCTAGGGGCTTAGAACTTAATCCAGGCCTCCCACAAAGGTGGCGGTGACCCAAGTACTTGAACCATCTTCTGCTGTGTTCTAGAGTATGCGTTAGCAGGAAGCTGCATAGGAAGTAGAGGAGCTGAACTCGAAGCAGGCACTCTGATATGTGGGATACAAGTGTCTCAGGAGGCACTTTAACTGCTGAGCCAACTCTCTGCCCTTGTAACTTGTATTTTGAAGATTTATTGCTTTCTGTTTGAAAAGCAGGTTTTACAGAGAGAAGAGTCTGAGACAGAGAGGTCTTCCGTTTGCTGGTTTACATCTCAAATGACCATAATAGCTATAGCTGAGTTATCAAAGCCAGGAGCCAGGAGCTTCCCCTTGGTCTCCTACATGGGTGCAGAGGCCCAAGGACTTGAGACATCTTCCACAGCTTTCCCAGGCCATAAGCAGATAACTGGATTGGAAGTGGAGCAGTTGGGACGCCAATGCCACAAGAGGAGAATTAGCATGCTATGCCATTGTGCTGGACCCCTAACTTACATTTTAAAAGGAAAATATAAGCTGCTGATTTGAGAATTGACCATAGAGCAGCACAAATGGAAACATGGAGATGAATGCGAATCCTTTGTTAAAAGCTACATAAGAGTTGATCTTTGCTTGGCTAATTTTGCTTGTAAATGGTGAATTGAATTCTGATTCTTAATGGTTTTTTTTTTTTTTTTTTTTTTTTTTTGGTCTTTTTCTGGTTCATTCCTCCTAGGCCTGAGTTGGGCTAGGACTGGGCCAGGCTGAAGCTGGGAGCACAATCTAGGTCATCCACATGGGTGGTAGGAATCCAGCTCCTTGAGCTGTGACCTGTGGCCTTGGGTTTACATCAGCAGGAAGCTAGATTTAAGAGCCATAGGTAGAATATGAAACAAGGCACTTTACTATGGGTTGTGAGAATCTTAACTGCCAGGCTAAATGTCAGCTCTCAGTTTCTGGCTCCATTTTGAAGATGGAGCTGACATGGTTTGTTGACGGTTAAAAGAGGAGTTAAGGATGACCTGGATGTGCTGACATAGTGGTAGAGTGTGTCAAGCCATTGCTTGTGATTCCAATGTCCCATCTCGCATGGCCATGCAAGTCCTAGCAGCTCTGTTTCCCATCCAGCTCCCTGCTAATGTGCTTGGGAAAGCACTGGAGGATGGCCCAAGTGCCTGGACCCCTGCCACCCACATGGGAAATCTGAATGGAGATACTGGCTACGCACTTTGGACTGACCCAGCACAGACTATTGTGGCCATTTGTGGAGTGAACAAGTGGGTAGAAGATTCTGTCTCTCTGTATCCCTGCCATCCCACCCCCAAATAAATGAGCAGATTTTTTTAAAAAAGGCTGAACTTGTGGTAGACAAACAAGGCTGGAAGAATGCTGGAGGCTGCTAACATCCTAGTTCCTGAGCTCACATTATAGCAGGTTGCCACCGAAGAGGTTCTAGAAAGGAAGTTAGGATTTCAGCACCTTTTTAAAAATTGTTGTTGGTAATGCTTAGTATTAGCCATCAGTGTTCCAAAGGGAAACAAATTCTTGAATTCCTTGTCTAAAATAGTATTTACTTTTCAAAAATTGCATGTAAGACTACATGTGGGAAACATAGTAATGGTTCGAAGATATGGCCTGTAAGAAACAGAAATCGTAATAAAACCTATTTGTGAATGAAGCTTATTTTTGATTCTATGGTTTGTTGACTTAAATCTGTTTGGAAGTCAACCATTTTAGTGAATCAATTCCAGTATCCCTCAACACATGAAGTTTAGTTTGCAGAAGTTAAGAGTGTTGTGTTGTGGATAACTTGCTTGGCTTTTTCATTCATTTATGTAGGTGTTACTTGTAATGGACACGAGGACTGAACAGACCTTCATTTTAAAAGTAAGTAGAATTTGTATATTGAATGAATTTGGATATTTAGTCATTTCTTTTCAAATTATGCTCCTGAAGAAAATACAAAGCTTTTTGACTGAGTGTTTGAAAACTCTGTGGTGCTTTGTATTCTATTTCCTTTCAATTCTTCCATCACGGTTGTTGAGAACTCTGGAGCATACATTCAGTGTGGATTAACTAATGTGGGTACATTGCAGACTGTTTTTATGCTGTTTGAATGTGTAGTGTAGACAGCCAGTACTTATCTTGTGATTTTGATGTGATTTCAGAAGACTGCGTTTGGTCTAGCCTCTGATCATGACCATGATTTTCAAGTGCTAACTGCTACCTTAAATTCTGTGTTAAAAGTGTTTGGGAAAACTATCCACATCAGTGTCCTCTTTTTTGTTTAAACTCAATTTTGATTCCATTTACAGCTCAATCTATAATTAATTAAAAAAGAGAAGAAAAACCCTCAGGTTTTTATAGCTTTGAAATTGAATTTAGAATAGTGATAGTACGTATTCTCAAAAATATATGAATTTAAACATTTCTAAAACATCTGGAAAGTTCAGTTCATTCATCTTCTGCTACTTCATCTGAGACTTTTCTTTTTGCTAACGAGACATGGCAGCAGGTCCTATCACCACTCACTGAAGCCTGTCTTGTTTTATGTGACTGTCCTTTGTCACTGATGTTTCCCTAGATTTGAGAAGCAGGACTTGATGCCGGAAAATATACACAGCCTGTTGTTCCATTGGAGAAGACTGAATCTTCTCTGTCCTTTTTTTGGGATAGAATTTTTAGGTTTGCCTGTTTAATTGCAGGATATGGTTTGTAGCTCAGGAATTTGAATTGATCTCGCAGGGCCTACTGCTTTAAAGATGTACACAAGTAAAACAGAACTTAAAAGGTCATAGCGAAATAACTGTGTGTCATCCTGATGACTTAGTTTGAGAGCGTCTCTAATAAAAACACTGACCCACGTAATTGATTTTAATGGCAGCTTTGTGGCATCTTCCGTTCTCTGGATGCTCGCCAGATGCCATCAGCAGCGCCTCCAGGGACCGGGAGGCGCGGAGCAGCAGCTGAGTGACTTCTCTGAAGCTCAGAGTAACTCGGATAGATTAGTTTGGTTGATAAACACAGAGCACAGCAGGCTCCAAAGGCAGCTGAGGGTACAACTGACCTTTTTGTTCTCTGTCAGGGTCTAAGGAAAAGCAGCGAGTACAGCAGGAACAGAAAGACCATCATCCCCCGCTGCGTGCCCAACATGGTGTGTCTGCACAAGTACATCATCTCGGAGGACTCGGTGTTTCTGCTGCTGCAGCATGCGGAAGGTCTGTGCGTGCGGCGCCTCGCTCACGGCCGAGCACGTCCTCACACCTGGCCTGGCAGGAGCAGAGGATATACACAGAACACACGTGACACCATGTCCTCTTCCTCCCTGTTTTGGGTTCTGAGGGAAAATGAAAAGCAGGGTGAAGAGCACATTCCTTTGAACTACAGTGCCAGCTTTAGGTCTACTTAGCTTCTTTGGCAGAGAATTTATTTAATGGAATGAGAACTTCCATGTGACTGTTGAAAGAGTGGGGTTTTATTTGAGGGATTTTTATTTTGTTCTGCCAAAAAAAAAGGATGCATTTATGTTAGATGACAAAAGCATCCCCTGAAGAATTAGTTAATTACCTCTTTTATTTATTTATTTATTTGTTAGGAAGCGAGGCTGTTTGTTTAACATTTGACGTTCTGTAGTTGTTCTGATGCCAGTTTTGAGGAACACAGCCATTGGCATCACATATGGGTACAGGGCACAGTATAGTACATTACCTTCACATTATTTGTGAAATTTCAGCTCTTAGTAGTGGGAACAGGTGGCAGAAATAAGTGTTATGTTTTGATTTGGTATTGCCCTCTAATACCTGGATTTAAATAAATAGTCTTTTATTTAGAACGATTTAATATAGCAAACACAAATTCACTTCATAAAACATTGCCTTCTGGCTTTTAAACAGGTTTTCTTGAAATCATAAAAAAAAAAGGCAATACTTAATTTCCATAATTCATGAAAGCACTATTGTTTTTACATTACCGAAAATAAAGAACGCTTCTGCTTTACTAACAGGCATACCATCTGAATTTAACACATTTTCCCAGGAAAAGGCATTGTTGCTTTCTGGGATTGAGGCCTCTTATGATAAGAAATGTGAGATTTTTGACGGGGGCAATAAACTATTAATATTGTTTATTATGAAGTACAGCGCAAGATAACTGCAGCTGGAGGGAAGACCTCCATATGCAGTATTTAATAGGAAATTCAGAAGGGGCTCCATGGTCTCTCAGGTATTAAGAGAGTTAATTGCGTGTGTGAATTGGATAACTAATTCACCTTTGTTCAGACATTATAGACAGCTTTTATCTGAGGATACCAGTGCATTACAGACATTATTGAATTAGAGGTCATGTCATCTGATAGCGAAATACAGCCACCTCTGGTGTGGAACAAAATAACTTGCGTAGTAATAATCCATAATAATTTAGAACAAGGTCAGTAGGATGAATGTAATTATAGTCAATATTCTATTACCCAGCATGGATTATTCATGTTGGAGATTATCAGTGGCAAGTTTCAATCCTAGCTTACCTTTATTAATTTGTAGCTTTATCTTCCTTTTCCTCATCTTCCTTCTCCAAATGATACTTTGGATTTTCTTTTGCCATCTTCTGCCTTGCCTTGTATATCTTAAGGCTAATATTTTAACTGATTATACTTTAATACTATAGACAGTTTTTCAGATTTCTTTTGACACACATATAGCTTTCAGATTTTCAGCTGTTTCAGATTTTTTTACCATTGACCACATCTGACTTGAAATGACCACGTGACCATAAGATTTGTCTTTTAAAAATCTATGTGTTTATTTGAAAGAGTCATAGAGAAGCAAGGGGGAGGAAGAGAGAGAGAGAGGAGATTTTCTATCCGCTAGTTCACTCCACAAATGGCTACAGTGGTCAGGGCTGGACCAAACCAAAGCCAGGAGCTTCTTTCAGGTTTTTTTAATGGGTAGCAGGGACCCAAGCACTTGAGCCATCTTTTGCTACTTTACTATGCTAGACAGAGATCTTCCATCCACTGGTTCGTTTCCTGAATGGCTGCAATGGCCAGAGCTGAACTGATCTGATCTGGTCTCCCACATGGATACAGTGACCTAAGAACTTGGGCCATCCTCTGCTGCTTTCTTAGGTCATGAACAGGGCACTAGATCCAAGTGAAGCCGCTGGCCCATGATCTGCTGCCCGTGTGGGAGGCTGGGGCAACAGGTGAAATAGTATGCTATTTGCACCATGCCAGCTCTTGAACATTAAATTTAACTTACTACCCAGCAGAGAATGGGGAAGAGTTTTTCTCCTTGCAAATAAAACTTTTTAGTTTTAACTAATTTATTTTTAATAGTCCTTCCCTTTTTCCTTTTGAAAGACAGAGGTACAGAGAGATAGAGGGAGAGACATTGAGTAAGAGAGATACTGAGATAGTCTGTCTTCTAGTTCTATTCTCAAATGGCCACAACACCCAAGACTAGACCAGGCTGAAACCTGGAGCCAGGAACTCTATCTGTGTCTCTCATATGGGTGGCAGGGTCCCAAGTATTTGGACCATCTTCTGCTGCTTTCCCCAGTGCTTTGGCAGGAAGCTGGCTTATAGGTTGAGCAGCTGAGGCCTTTGGTTGAATATGGGGTGCTTGTACCCAGGCAGTAATTTAATTCACTGTACCATGACCCTGGCCCCTGAAAATGCATTTTTCTACAATTGACATTTGGGCAGTTGTTTGTGCTAGTAACATATTCCATAAAGAAAATGGTGATAGTCATGTTGAAAAATGTTTGTTAACAGTGACATCAAACAATGCTATATTTGATTGATCGAAGAGCTAGACTTGCTAATAGCTGACAAAGGCAAGTGACTGTGCAGGTGGCACTGTTGCATAATCCTTTCAGGAAAGGATTCTGATACATCAATACATCTGATACATCAATACAGCAACGTGTGAGTGTTAAAATGTTCATGCTTCTTAATTTAATACTTTCATTTCTGGATTCTGTCCTAATGAAATATTCAGAGATGTGAAATATTTGTGCGTAAAAGATTGGAAGCAACTTAAATGTCAAATAGAGAAACATTTAAATACATCATACTGTCTATCACAGGGATATGTTCTATAGCCATTCAAGCTTGTATTCTTATGAATGTTAGAAAATGTTTATAATATAAAAATTATGAATCATAAAAGCTAAAATAATGCTATATTAATTTGTGCTTATCATTAGGTGTTAGGATTAAGGTTTATTTTTATGTTTTTAATTTTTTTTTACTATTTTCAGAAAATTTTGTGATCGAATGTATTAGTTATAAGCAAAAGGAATGCTTGTTCTCCCCAATAATACTCTTAGTATTTTTAGACCTTTTACCTTGGAAGATTTTTTAAAAATTTGTAAACGTATTCTATTTTGGTAACACAGTTTAATAAATATCTATTTAATGCCTGTTTTACATGTTAGAATAGAATCTTCTGCCTGTGGTTATTAAAACCTTATGATCTGACAAAGGAGATAATCAAAGCAAAAAATGTTAATATAGAATAGGATATTATAAATGTTTTAGGGTAGAATGAAGTGGCATAGAAGGTTCTGAGAAAAAATAAAATGTATCCAATGATGGAATACAAGAAAATTGAACAAAGAAAAATTATGGAAAAAACATTACAGAATGAAAAAGACTTTTGGCAAGCAGATATTGAGGAAACTAGTGGGTAAAATTTTATGAGATAGGTGCAGCATGAGGAAGTCTAGCGTTGTTTCCATGTGGCGAGTTTAATTTCAGATGAAGTGTGTGACGAGCAGGAGGCAAGGACCAAATCCTGGGCTGATAGTGTATCACGGAGAGGTTCAGATGCTTGTATGTTAGCAGGTGCATAGGATTTGTGTTCTTGAATGACAAAATGTCTTGATGGAGAGCCATGCCAGAATAAAGACTCATCGACAGCAGTTTATGATACAGTGGTACAGGGCAGACTTCAGGTAAGCATCTGTTACCTCAAAAAGCAGAGATCAAGGAAGGGAGAGCAAGGTAGTTCAAAGAAGGTGATTGGCAGAAATATTGTAAGTCCATCAAATGGGATTTGGAAACTTTCAAATGTTGGAAGAGCAATGGAAAGAAAATAAACCAAGACTGACTCAAGGCTCTTATGGCAGGATGACTCAGAAATCAGAGGAACTGATTGGGGGTGAAAATAATTTACACATATTGAATTTTAGGTTTCATAGCTTGGGCAGTGGCCTTGGCTAAGAGGGAATGGAGCTTTTCCTCCAGCCTTATTGGACACTATTTCCTGCTCACTCTGGAATGCTGAAGAGATGATGGTTCCCTTCTTTGTGGCAGCACTTCCCTTTCTGAAGAGTTACTGTCTGATTCACCATTGCTCAGTGCCTGCCATGTTGCACTTTATAGGTATTAGATAAAAACTTAAAAAAAGACTTGAGCTTGTTCTCAAAGTCATCGTCTTTCAGGAGGTTTGGAAACCTTCCCAGGCATTTTATTTGGAGTGTGTGAGATGTCCAGGATCAGAATCAGGCTCAGGCATTTTAGTGAAAGTGCCACGAGAAAGGTATTTGTGGAGAAGGTTGTTACTTTGGTCATCTGGGGATTGAGTTAGTGGGTGGAGGATCTCTTTCCATCTCTCCCTCTTTCTATAAGTAAGAGTCTTTCAAACAGTAAGTTAGAAAATGAAAGATTAAAGAATATAGAACCACCGCACAACTCCTTTTTGGAGGGAGTTTCTAAATCATGTTTGCATGCTTAAACTTTAGTTTGAAAGTTGGGAATTTCGAAACGGTATATTCTGGGGAGGGCAGAAAGCCTTAAGTAATAAGAAATGGAAGGAAAACTTCCAGCACATGATGTCCTGTACCATTAACAACAAAAGGGAGAAGACTTCTGACTAGATCACTGGTAGGGATGTGTCTTTTTATTGAGTAAAGCTTCCTGAAATGGGAATGTTAAAAATGTTAAAAATGAACCTTTCAGTTCATATGAAGAAGGTGAATTTTTCAGTGCTTTTTAAAGATTGATTTATTTGAAAGATATAAGGACAGAGAAAGGGGGCAATACAAAGAGAGGTCATCCATCCCCTGGTGCATTTCCCAAATTGCTGCAGCGGCCAAGCCTGGGCCTGTTGAAGTAAGGAGCCTCGGACTCCATCCTTGACTCCAATGAGAAGAACAAGGACCCACGTGCTTGAGTTATCACCTGCTGTTTCCAGGGTGCATGTGAGCAGGCAGTGGGATAAGAGCGGCCCGGACTAAGACCAGGCCCTCTTGCAAGGGCACATGGGCATCCCTAGACTTAATGGAGATTCTATTTATTATGAAATAGAAGAAAAATGTGTTAAAATAACATTCATGTGACAGTAGTATTGCTAAATGATTTTTATAATTATAGTTTAAGTTTTTAGATATATATCAGAATGCAGGGTCAATTTTACACCAGTTTACTTCATTAAATGGCTTCCCAGTTAATCTTCTTCAGTAGCTTTACTTGGTCTTATGCAGCACATGATAAGTATGGGGGGACATCAAATCAGAAAAAATATTACTGTGTCATTTATAAAGGCATAATTATATGCCAGATGCCAAATTTCCCCTCTAGGCCTGGACTGGGCATTTCAAAATGGAATAATATTGTTGATTTTTTTCCCAACTATAATACACAATTTTAAACAGCACTTATCTATATATTTCCATTTGACTAGTTATTATATAAACAGATCAGAACATAATCAGATGTTTCTAAGACTAAGTAATTAACTTAAAAGCAGAATTTTAGCTGTGAGATTTCATCTTAGTATTTGTTATAACTAATTTCCCTCCAAAGGAAGAAACAGGTTGTCATTTTAGAAATTATTGTTGCTAAGAAATATACTTGAAGCCATCCATATTCATTAGGTAGCAGTAACAACACAGTGACTTTGGTTTGTTAAATGTACTTGTCTTGCAGCATGCTTGCTATTAATGGGTAGCATTGATATCTTGTTTGTGATTTGTTTTTTCTTCTACTTGTTCACAGGTGGCAAACTCTGGTCCTATGTTAGTAAGTTTCTAAACAGAAGCCCTGAAGAGAGCCTTGAGATCAAAGGACTGAAAAAATCTGCACTCACTAAAGTCCACTTGCAGCAGCCAGCTGCTGGTCCGCAGGAGAGCAGCAGCCTTGACTCGAGAGGAAGTGATGGTAGCAGTGTGCTTAAAGCCCTTCCTTTGAAGAGCAGCCTCACTCCAAGTTCTCAGGACGATAGCAACCAGGAGGATGAGGGCCAAGATAGCTCTCCCAAGTGGCCTGACTCCGGTTCCAGTTCCGAAGAGGAATGCACCACGAGCTATTTAACTTTATGCAATGAATATGGGCAAGAGAAGATTGAACCGGGGTCTCTGAGTGAGGAGCCCTTCATGAAGACAGACGGGAGCGGTGTGGACACCAAAGCTGTCAGGAGTTTCCCAGCCCACCGGGAGGCTGGCAGGGACAGCCTCAGCACACAGCTGATGACTCATGAGCTCAAGTCCCACCCTGGGGATGAAGACCCGGAGGCAGGCAGTCCTGCAGGAACGTCTGATTCTCTCAGTAGATCGAAAAATAGCCCCATGGAGTTCTTTAGGATAGATAGCAAGGACAGCGCAAGTGAACTCCTGGGACTCGATTTTGGAGAAAAATTGTATAGTCTAAAATCAGAACCTTTGAAACCATTCTTTGCTCTTCCGGAGGGCAACAGCACTTCCAGGAGTTTTGAGACTAGTGAGAACAAGGTTGGGTTCGAAGCTCAGGACACCGTTAGCAGGGGCTCAGACGACTCGGTGCCTGTGATTTCGTTTCAAGATGTTGCTTTTGATGCCATCAGTGGCCCCGACGAAGGCAGGCCTGATCTTCTCGTGAATCTGCCTGGTGAGCTGGAGGCAACAAAAGCAGCCGCAGCCCTGGGACCTACTCCATTTCCACAGACTGCTCCAGGCATCCTGGAAAGCAAACTGTTGGAAGCCCCCGATGTTTTGTGCCTGAGACTGAGTTCCGAGCAATGCCAAGCACATGAAGGACGAGGCACAGAGGAGTGGAGTGAGCCCCAGAGTAGAACAGAGAGACATTACACACAGGAGGATCTCGGGAGCTTATTTGTCACGACTGTTGATCAGAGCAGTCCGGGAGACCTGGCTTGGTTACAGAGCACAGGGTCGGAGCTTCAAGATCTTGGAGGGCCAGAGCCGGCCACTGCCCCAGACACCACAGAAGAGAACTTATTCCATATTTCTAACTCACTCTCAGGTGCTAATGACTACGATACAAACACAGACACTTTAAAAACAGAAGAAGTGTTGCTATTTTCAGATCAGACTGATGATTTGGCTAAAGAAGAAGCTACTGCTTTATTCCAGAAAGATTCCAAGGTTAAGGGAGAAAGTGGGGTTGCACTAGACGGAGACAAGGAAATACATCAGATTTTTGAGGACCTTGATAAAAAATTAGCACTAAACTCCAGGTTTTATATCCCAGAGGGCTGCATTCAGAGATGGGCAGCTGAAATGGTGGTAGCCCTTGATGCTTTACATAGAGAGGGAATTGTGTGCCGCGATTTGAACCCAAACAACATCTTATTGAATGATAGAGGTCAGGAACTTTTGCAAATGCATTTCTTTTTATTCGCTGTTGCTTCCAATTAACTGAGTAGGCGTTTTATCTTGTAATTAGTATCTTCATTTCCTGTCTAGAGCTTCATTATCAGTGCAGCAAATTCACCCCCAGTAATAGCTTCTAGTACTTAATGATGCCATTATTCTTAATGATACTGTTTTTAGCTACAAAAGGAGTAATTACAGTTCACTTCTGCAGAAAATGGAAGAGAAAAATGTTTTGATTTCTCCTGTCGTTTTGTTTTTAGGACACATTCAGCTAACGTATTTTAGCAGGTGGAGTGAGGTTGAAGATTCCTGTGACAGCGATGCCATAGAGAGAATGTACTGTGCCCCAGGTTAGAGCAATCTCCTCAAATGTTTCACTTGAAAAAGTGGCTCAGCAGCTCTTATTTCTTTGTAGATGTTATATTTTGCACTAACAGTTTACTTATGTGTTGAATGTGTTATCTCTTTAATCCTTCAAAGAAGAAGATTTGGAGATAAAACCATTATTTAGTCCATAGGTACACACACACACACACACACACACACACACACGCGCGCGCGCGCGCGCGCGATTGTTGTTCAGTGGGTCTGTACTTCCCTTCCGGCTGGTGGTGGATTCTTAGCAATGTCTTAACTTTGGGTGTTTTAGAAGGACCTCTAGATAAAGTCAGCTGTGGCTGGCATGCAGTAGTGGGGAAGGCCCAGCACCTACTTTGGACAGGCTGGGTTTGATGCCTGCCTCTGGCTCCTGATCCAGCATTCTGCTGAAGCAGACCCTGGGAGGCAGTAGTGATAGCTTCAGTAACTTGCTATCCACGTGGGGAAACTGGATTGAGTTTGCTGGCTCCTGGGTTCCACCTGGCTTAGCCCAGAGCACTGTGGGGATTTGAGGAGTGAACTAGGAGATGGGCATTTCCTGTTGGTCTCTTTCTCTCTGCTTCTTGGAAAAAAAAGAAAGTAAAACAAAAATGAACAAAACCCCAAGTCTGAACCTCCTTAAATGGATGATATTTACTTAGATGTCAGAGATTTGGCTGACTAAAATGAGTGAAGTTTCTAAAAATGGGTAAAACGCAAATTTTTAATAAATACACAGTGTGACTGCAGTGATGAAACAAGCTAGCATTTTAGAGCACATTATAGAAACAGCTATGTATCTGGGAAAATGTAGGAGGCATTTCTCATTTTTTAGTAAATTTTTTTAACTTAAAAATTTATTTCGTTTTTTTATTGGAAAGTCAGATATACAGAGAGGAGGCGAGACAGAGAGGAAGATCTTCCGTTCGATGATTCACTCCCCAAGTGACTGCAACAGCCGGTACTGCGCCAATCTGAAGCCAGGAGCCAAGAACTTCCTCCAGGTCTCCCACGTGGGTGCCGGGTCCGAAGGCTTTGGGCCATCCTTGACTGCTTTCCCAGGCCACAGGCTGGGAGCTGGATGGGAAGTGGAGCTGCTGGAATTAGAACCGGTGCCTATATGGGATCCTGGCACATTCAAGGCGAGGACTTTAGCTGCTAGGCCACTGCTCCGGGCACACGTTTTTCAGTAACTTGTTTAGCCAGACTTGATCCAACAGACTTCCCTTTTTCTTGTCCTTATTGTGGTGTCATTATTATTATTATTAGTTTTTAATTGAAAGTTAGAGATTTATTTCTGTAGGTGTTCAGTCCTTTGCTGACTGTTCAGGTGGCTTAAGGGAGTGAATTGGGTTTGTGTTCAGTCTGGATGGGGCTCTGTTTGAATCCAGAGTTTGTTCACCCTTTGCCCAACCTGTTGTAGTTTTGGCTGACTGCTGTTGCTGCACTTGTCACCCATTGGCTTTGCACGGACGTGCTTGGTTGATGGCTAATGTGGTGCTTAAAGCTGCCTTGCTAACGTGTGTTTATGCTTGTCTTTCCATGCAGTGAGAAGTGGTTATAGTTAGCACTGAGAGATCTGTTGGTTTTAGGTACAAGCTTCGTTGATAAGAATTATTTTGCACCTCTCCAATGTACGAAGCTGATAGCCTGAAACTTCCTTGGGAACAAGTATTGACGTTTTCTGCCTTATTGTTATTGCCTTTTTCTAGCCTTCTTCCTAGAGACAGGGAGCACACCTACATTTTGTTTTTGTTTTTCTCAAATATGTAATGTCGTGCTTTTTGTGTGTGTGCAATTTTATCAGTGTGATTTAGTTAGTGAGAAAACAAAACAATCTTATCATGGAATCATTTTGTTACAGTTATCTCCTTTTAAAAAATGTCCAGTTTGATAATGTACAACATGTTAGGGCATAAAAGGTATCTAAACGTTTTTATTTCTGATGAATTTGGAGGCTTCAGGATCAGAATTAAATTTGGGAGTTCTTTTGAGAAGAACCTGCTGCACCCTGAAATGGGCAGTAGTGTAAATTACAAGTAACACCAGACACTTGTGGGCCTGATGGAATGCTCACCGCTGACTCCTTGCCTCCTGTTTTTGTTGTTACAACCATCTGTGAGGTGGTTGTAGCAGATTATTTTTCTTTAGTTTCAAGTGTACTCATTTTTACCCTAATATTCATAGCATGTTGGCATCCTGAGAACTTTAATGTATATGAAGCAGAACCATGCTGTATTAATCAACAGATACATACTTTCAGGTTTGTGTACTGCAATACTGAATTTGACACAATTCTAGTTGTCTGTTCCTTGACATCAATTCTCACAGTTCACCAGCAGGTGGCAGTCTGCCATTAATGGATTTTTGCTGTTCAGTTTGTCCTTCACTAACATTTGAAAAAAAAAAAAAAAGCTGTAGTCTGAAGGGATGTTTTGTTTTAATTCTTTGCATAAAATAATTATACTTTCAAGCTTTGTGAACTGCAAAAGTGTTCAAGTATTATGTCATACAGTGAAAGTAGTGGAATATATCTTTATTCCTTGGACCTGTTACTTTTAGCAGCAAGATAAAACCAGTAAAGACTTGAATAGAAAAGTGAAGCTAATGCTCTAATTTAGATGGTCTCAAATGTAGAGAGTTCTAGAACTCAGGGAAGACCATGTGTAACCCTTGCTTATCCTGCAGGGGGAATTAGAACAAAACTTTGTAAATCACTTTTTGTTTCAAAGCTGAACAGCAGCTTTAATCAAAGCTGTTAATCAAAGCAGACTCATTCTCACCCCTTCCCAAAGGGTGCCAACAATGGTAGTATGCTGCTAATTCTATGTGTAAAAATCACCATTAAGTCTGTACATGGGGGCATAGAGTACTTAGCCCCCTTTTGCTACCCTTAGAACATGAAGTATTAAAGTAACTCCCCTCCCACTTCCCAGATCTAGCCTTAGTGTTATCACACAAGTCACTTTGAAGCAGGTTAAGCAGCAGATGTTTGGTTATTAAGTAAAGTTGTCACAAGATTCATTTCTGTTTAAACAGTGTGCAGCCTCCCCCCTCCCTCTGCTCCCTCCTGGGAATCCTTATCACGTATTTGTCCTAAAAACATCGTCCACCTGCCCTGCACTGTATAATATCAGCAGTGTAGCTTTTATCTTGTGGGTGATGTGCCTTTATATTCTGAGAAAAATTTCCAGTAACAGATTCGATTTACATGGGCAGAAACTTGAGCAAATGCCAAGCTAGCAGGGGGGCCATTATTCTGCTCTATAAATAAGTTTCGAAAAGAAAACACACACACACACAAGCCTGTGAATCAACATGTTTTGGTCTAATTGAGGGGAGAAGTAAGAGATAAATTTTGAAATGCAAATGATCACCTTCTGTTATTTAAGGAGGCTTTTTGGCAACTTTGTGATCTTAGATTTTTTTTTGAAAAGTCATGTTCAATTCAACAGCGTTTTCACTCGAGGATGTCCGAGATTCTGAAATTTCTACAACAAAACTGAGAACCCTTAAAAAATTTTTTTTTCTACTTTTTTAGATTAAATAAAACAAATCCAACAACGAAAAGACAAAACCCACGGAGCTTTCCGTGTGTACATCTGTGAGAAAGGCGGCACATAAATGGCTTGCAGCTGCAGACCCATCAAGAGGGTCTTGAGAATACGAATTCAATGATCAAACCCTGCCCCGTTTTCAAAGTAGAAACCAGTCCTTTTACGTTCACTTTGTATCCTTAGATTATCTAGGCTGATTTCTCCAGCAAGGTTTTATGTGAAATAAACGTGCCTCCTGGTAAATGGGTTCCTTTCACATGGCAGAAGCGCAGCATGGAGGTAGGGAGGAGAAAGAGCGAAGCAGTAATCCACCGAGGAGGCACAGGCTGTGCAGAGCGACCGAGTGGGTGTGACACTGTCTCGTGTGTGGGTCAGGAGACTCAGGCAGGTTCTGCTGTTGATTTATTTGGCCATGAGAAATCACACCGTAAACTCACAAGTGCCCTGGCCTTTCTTCTTCGGGGGACTTCCTTGTGGTTACTCGGATTTTAGATCTGTTTACGCACAGCCACACACACGAAGCCAAACCACATCTGTCTCTTGTCGTTTGAAGAAAAACCAAACCAAACCAAAACAAGAAACCAGCTAGGAAATAGAAGCCATAACCTTCAACCATATAAAATCCAAAATGCTATATTTGAAAATTTGGTATGAAATCTGACATGGTGAAGTAAAATGATTTGTATGTTAGCAGCTATGTTAATAGAATCACAAAGTTCCCTCTTCTAGTCTTAGACAAGTTGATAGGGTATCCTGTTGGCATGTGTCATTCACTTTTATTTTCCACCCATTGTAAGCCTTTGAAATGCTTGAAATTTACATCAGTACTTCTCACTGAGCACTTTTCAGACTTGAGAATTCATAGGTGAATATGTGTGTAAATTGAAAAAGTCCAGGATGCTTTTCACTGCAGCCCGATCTCCACGCTCCCAGATGTCAAACGACAGCTTTGCTTCCTCTCAGGCGATTTCACACCTGGAAACAGCTCGCAGCTGACGGCGGAAAGTGAAACAGAAAAATCATGCTGAAAAGTGTCTGCACAATTCTGCTTTGGGAGCATGACATTTATTTTCTCCTTTGCTCCTCTAGCTTGACTTTGTAAGATCACTCATGAACTTAGTGTTGGGCATGGTCTCTCTTGTTCTTCTCTCTGAACATGCTTTGCACCTGATTTGTTTCTGTTTAAACCCGATGCTGTGTGTGATAGTTATGTAGTGATAATTAGAGGTAGAACTCAGGCCATTGGTGGAGGGAAATATCTTGAAGTCATCAGAAATACAAGATTTTAAGTAAAATATTTAGATGGAGTTGAACTTTTCAAACCTGGTTGTTTGTTCCAGGTCAGGTCATAACCTGTTGCATAGCTTTGGACAAGTTGTTTCAGACTTTTCTAGCCCTCAATTTAGTAACAGTAAAACACATTTGTAGAAATAAAT